AGTCAAGAGGACTACGACAACTACTCCGAGGGTCTAGAAATCAATGCCAATGCCAATATCCTCGTTATTTTCGTTATTTTCATGCAGATTGTCATTGCTGGAGGACTCTCGATGCTAATGAACAGAGGAATCCTGGTGAAGACAAGATTTGTCTGGCCAGCTTTGCTTGTGATTGGTTGTTTACTCATGATCGGCTTCACTTTCATTACCGGTTCCGCGTATGCGTACGTGATTGGTGTTGGAATGGCCATTCCCATCTCAGGTATCAATGCCTCCCCCCTCGCTATCGTTGGGAAGTATATCCAGGAAGATGATAAGGAGTCTGGCGACGAGGCTAAGGTTGGGCCCCAATTCGGTCTGCTCAATCTTTTCATCGTGGTACCCCAGATCATTGTCACCCTAGTTGCGGCCGAAATGAGAGTCTCGAATGGTCTTGAGGCTGTTATGGTAGTGAACGGTGTCGCATTCGGAATTGCAGCCATTGTCGCATCTTTATCCGCGAGAACTCAAATTACAAATGAACAGTACGTACATCTATAAACATATTCATTAAGACCATGAAAGAAAGGATTGTAAGGATTGTAAATCAAACAAAGGTCACGGCGCCGCAATTTGACAGCTACAGTGTTTTTTCAACAGTCAGTGACCGTCTACAACGACTTGATGAGACTGAATTGTACTTCCGATCAGCTGCACCATATTGCTCAAATCTCTTGTGATAGGCAGCGGAGAGTTACTTGCATACTGGCAATCTAACTGCAAAAATGAGAGACTCAATTGGTCTGGAAGCTTTTATTGTGGTGATGAACGGTGTCGCATTTCGATTCGTAGCCATTGTTGGCGTCCTTCACCGCGAAATCTCTGACTATACATTTATAAAAAATGCATAATCAGCAAGATATTTCCAACTTGAAAGTTTGCTTCCGCATGATGCTATATAATTGATTTAAACATAGGTTTATGGATATAATCGTGAACATCATCTCTTTAGAGATCGTATACGACAATACTTTGTAATGATCTGTTTTGGATGATTTCTCTTTCGACGTTCCATTTCAGTTCATTTGATCAGATCTATACGATTATAAACACCTCACGAGGGACTCTTCATATATACAAGTATCCCATGTCGTATGTATCGGTTTGCAAGCACGCAAAGTTCATATAGACTGTTGGTTGAGAAAGATTCCGAACTCGGACGGGTTGTATGAGCAGTCTGTATGATCACAATCGAAGCACAATATATTCAATTGCCGGAATGTTCAGATTAGGGTGGAGAGTTTGTGAGCTCAATTTTTTCTCCTACACGCGTATTTTACCATACATATCATGGGTAATATCCTGTATTGAATCTGGTATGTTTATTTTAAAGAGCTGAATGAAAGATATACAATTTCACACGAAGTGCTATTCAGGTATATTCATTTCGACATTAAAACCCCATCACAGCAGAAGCGTGCGTGTGCAGGCTTTCGAACATCACATGCTGAGTGAGCATTTGACATAGTATGGCCCACTCATGTGGATACAATGCCGCTTAAAAGCGCAGTGAGTTGATGTTGGCTATCTACGCTTCATAACTTCAAAATCCACTCCCGCCTGCGATAGTGTATGCTAGTTTGAGTCATACCGAATCAGGGAACATCTCCTAACTACAGTGTGATATCAGTCAGAACATTGTAGTGGTTAAAATTAACTTCTTGCAATCGATAGGATGCTCATTCCATGCTTGTGCACATTCTCGGGTTGGTCCAGAATTGTTCTAAAATGCAAAACTCCGAATATGGCTCTCGGGTCTTTGACTTGGCTAAGCATAGCATGTATGTTGGTGAGAGATGAATTGTGCGAGGTTTGCCTATTTTTCAGGTAATCACAATATGTCTCTTAATAGTACACATCCCCTTGCCTCCACAACATTTCACTAATTTTGCAACCAACTTGCGGCCGCTTTACTAGTGCCGACTGCCGACAATGTTGAAATAGTTCTTTGGCAGTGTCGGAGTGTATCAACTTCCCTGTATGGCCTAACCAATTTCGGAGGTTCACTTTCATACCCAGGATCCTGGTCTCGATTGCAGCAAATACTAACAGTACTCAGACCAATCGAATGAAGGTCCGTCCATTCCCGGTGAAGTGCAAATAAGCTCACACCGCCGCTCATTTACAAACTAATGACCTTCAAGCCCTCTTCACTCCGTCGAGGAATACGGGGACCTACAACTGGAATAGCTAATGTGTATATCTATATCTATATACTCATAGATATTTAGAGCGTATACAAACTAGTCCTTATTACATCCAAGCTCGCCTGTGAACCTAAAAATACGGAACCGCCTAGTATCTAACACCAGGTCGTGCTCATGTACGACGGTGTTTCGTTAGGAGACCAAAGTTTCTTACTGAAGCCTTCTGAACGCTGATTGATGCCACGATGCGTCCTATAAGCTGGACAAGAAGAGAAAGGTATTGCAGATTCCAGATATCTAGGTAGTTCAAAGCTCCTTCACGGTCCACAGGATTGGTGCTGTGCTTACCACCACCTGCAGTGGGGCCCAGTGCCTTGGACAGCTATTCAGATTTGAACTGGGTTGGAAGTCACCGGTGTCATACAGGCCAAACGTTTGCACAGTGATCACTGATCACTCTCAATACTTGTTAATTAGCAGCCCATGCACATGGGGTTCATTGGCCAACTAACAGAACGGGACTATGAGTTGGACTGGCGTCGGGCCTCTCCGTCACTGGTTTTCACCTTACCACATCTCGTGAACATTCACACATGCCGTATGTGAACACATGTGACATGTGGTGGGTGCAGTAGTGCTACCGTTTACAGCGAAAGGCCCCCAGAGCCTGAGCGGTCCTGACTGTCTACCGAAGCGTCTTGTATTTGATAATCCTCCCTTATCCTTGTGAGACTGCCCGTGTTGGGCAGCTTGCTCTTCTTAGACGCGTCACTCTTGCTAGGTGCAGCGTCCCTGTTAACTAGATCAGCTCCCTATCAAAATTGGCGGCGCATTCACACAACTTGTGTGAGTAAATGTTCGTATACATGCGAACGAGGCACATCGAATAAATTTTGGACTCTTAATTGCTGGTTATGAATCTTGGGTCCGTTTGCATCAAATAATGTATCATCTCTCATAATACTCTCGACCCGCAAGCAAAGACACGTGATTGATATTACAGTGAGTTTGTGCACATAACTAAAGATGAAGGCGGCGGCCGATGTACAAAGTCCGATATAGCTACGCACTAGAAGGGCCCAGAACAAATTTGTAATCACAATTTGGCAATGGTTGAGTCTGTCTGTCTTCGAATGAGAATAGCTGCTGCCAAGAATAAGGGTGAACAGACACTCGAGAGTGTAACTTCAACTTCCAGGTTTATTGGCGAACATACATCAATAAGTCGACATATATATATATATATGTATATACAAATATGTATAT